ATGGCTGTTATTTTTACTACTACTACAGGAAACACTTCCACCATTTCTGCGAATAGTGAAAGCATCTATTTTCAGTGTTGGTGTGAGAGTGTTGTGTGAAATCAACAATACATTTTTCTATATATTTTTTTTATCGCTTGGTGCGCACGAAATAAGGGAATCCCTATGATGTTCAAACATAGTGCTTACCTAGGGAGGATAGGGAGAGGAGGTAGTATTTTTTCTCGAACTTCTGGAGATTATAAGTTCTTGGAAATACTTCCTTAGGCAATGATATTCAAGGTAACGAGTTTTTTGAGCCATTGAACATCAAATAGAAACGGGAGTATTGGTGAACACACGATCTACAGTATATGAATATGATTTTGAATTTATAATTGTCGAAAAAAATATGTCTACTAACGGAAGGCCTTTTAATTTACCTTGCAAGTTTTTGTTTTCCACCCTGTGGTGTTAAAGTTATTTCTTGTAGATCGAAAATATTTTTCCATCATTTTCATAAATTATTCAGGAGATAGAGAGCAAGCGAAAACGGTTCATGAATAACCCTATAGATTGTTGGCAACTCTGTATTTTTCAATTCACTGTCATTGAGATAATAATCTGATATAAATTAACTTCGTTTGATGACTTCTCGGTAGTTTTTTGAATGGCATATCTAATTTTTTTCAATTTTTCCCTATGTTCTTTCAGCTAATAATGGATTTATGTGCGACATTAAAATCGTTTATATTCGAAAGATGACATTTTTGACTTGGTATTTTCTCAGAGAATGTCTGAGTCGACAGCGCTATCGATTGAAAAAAAAATCATGAACTCAATTTCCAAAGTGAAAACTATCCATGAAATTTCGATTTGCACAAACTAAATAATGAAAAAATTCCCATATGATGTGGACTTCAACGGTGACACTGTATATTAAATGCCTTCTCACCCTACCCCGTATACCTACAATCGATAATATCGAATCTAGTCATACTTGTTCGGGAATTAATCGGTTGAAAGAATTACGTAATTATAATGAGTCATTAGAATTGTGAATCAAACCAATCAGCAGACTCATTATAGATTTCATCAAGTACGGTCGATTCAAGTGATAAAAAGAACTCGGAATTATTCAAGAGTGGAAGACTGAAATTCAAATCCAGATTAGTGATTGCATTTTCATTTGAAAGTGTGTGAAAGTTGTATATTTTCAAGATGATAAGTGTTTTTGTATATGAATATGGAGGTAATCATAACGTGGTTGGTATTTTGCTTCAATATAGGTATCTCTCCATACAGAGTGTTTCATAATTGGATGTCAATATTTGGGAAGGCGATTCTTGGGCCCATTCTAAGAAGAAAGTTTCATATGAACGTATGACCTATACGTCCTAACTTTTGAGATACAGGGTGGTAAAGTTCTCAAAAATTAATAGTTTTTTATTAATATCTGTAAAAACACTTCAGATATTTTGATGAAATTTGGCATACATGTACTATGTATCAAGAGGCATCAGTAAGTGCCTCATTTTTCTGTTATTGTCACCAGTGGCGTTCGTATGGAATTTTACATACCCTTTTTTGGCAGACATTTATGGTACGCCACTGATTAATCACGAAATTGAAATCTTTCCTGGAATTCCCAATCATTTCTAAGCAAATTTGATCACTACAATTTTTTCAATATGATGCACGGTTTTCGCCGAAAACAATGAAAAGCTTTTCACTACATGATTATAGCAATATCGTTAATATGACAATATCACAATGCAGAGAAATAGATTTTATTCTTTAGATCAAATTTCAGAAATACAATTCATAGTTTATGAAGTTTGTATTCGTATTTGGTATTTTGGAGTCTTAACTTTCCATTGTAGTAGGCTATATTAATTCTTGAGAACTTTATCACCCTGTATCTCAAAAGTAAGGATGTATAGGTCATACGTTCAAATGAAACTTTCTTCTTGGAATGGGCCCAAAAATCGCCTCCTCGAATATTGACATTCAATTATGAAACACCCTGTATAACGATGAGCGAATTTGAAATTTGCTTTATTGTTTGATCCAACATGACAAATATTTAGAAAAAATTCTAAATTTCAGCTGCTGATTGACGTGACGTCACTGATGACATCACAGATCTGTAGTTTGATCAAATTGTTGGACCGTGAGACACAGCCTTATGAATAGAAAATATATATATGTATTCACCTATCACCTACGACTACGACTGCAATCTGTGCTACGACCCCCTACGACCAACTGCTTTCTTGGGGTCCACAATATTTAATGCCAAACGCACCGTTTCCTGTTGAACTATCTCGAACCTATTTGGATACATTCGAAGTGCATGCTTCAATTACATTTTCAGCACTTACAATAGTTTTTTCTTCGGAACAAATAACAAATGTGAAGCATTCAAGTATAGTATCACATATATACTGTGCAGATGCGAGGCCTTGGACAGCAAAAGTCAGAAGAATTTTGGGCAACCAGTTGGCGAACCAGCAGTGGGACTCTGTAACTTGTGTCGCATAGCGAAAGCGTAGCGAAAGCGAAACGAAGCGAAGTATACGACTTCGCTTTCCGGTACTCTATATGTAGTTCGTTATGCTTTCGCTATCGTCATACGATTTCATACGAAATAGAACGAAGTTGGTGGAGTTAAATTTGGCAACAGTGTTGCGGATCCCATTTATTCAAAGGATACATCCCATTGGATCAAAAAAGCGGCATTTACGAATTATTGTATTGTTAATTTTTGGTTTCAATCAGAAATAAAGCCCTTGGAGAAGTTTCCGAGAGAAAAGAAATTCAATAAAACATCAAAAACACATATGAAGATGATTTATTTCTATGAATTGGAATGAATGTATTGACTACAAACAGATATTGACATCAAGGCCAACAAAAATAGTAATCAGCCAAACAAGAACTTATTCTGCACAGAGCAGCTCATTGGAAAACATGTACCTACTTTGTTCATATAAAAAATTGGTATTTATATTCTCACTAGGTATATCTCAGGTATAGCTTTCTATTTATATGCAACTAGTAAAGGCAAATGATCTGAGAATAACAATAATATTGTAACTGCTTATATTTATAATGAACATATCATTCTATAATCTAACACTCAGTATATTATTATTTACATACTATAATGTAATACCTATCAGAACTTGCTTCTCTATGTCACAAATTAAACAAGATGATAAGCACATATAATTCCTTGAATCGCCTTCTGCAAGGCAGCTATATGTTGACAGTGCATTTAAACAGATGCACTTTTTCTTACAGTTCACTTTAGAATCTTGGATGGAATTATTAATGTAATGAAAGTAGAATCCGTTCTTGTTCTTGTTCAACATAGTAAATAATGTTCAGTTAATCCTGTTTCATGGAATTTACTCTTGATTCTCCCTTATTGGTACACAGTAATATTACACAGTTCTTCTTGGGTGTCTTCAAGGTTTTTGCTATCCAAATTATTTTCCCTTCCAATGCACTTATTATGCAAATTTTTCAAATTTGAACGTTCCAGTCTTTCTGTTATGTTTCACTGTTGTAGGTATCAGCATATTATATTAGTAGGATTCATTAATTACCTATTATTGTCTTCTTCAATGGACTCACACCAAAGAAATATTTTTCTTAACAAGGATTCAGTGAGACAACATTCAGTAATGGCAGTTTTCAATTTATTTTTCAACTACCAAATGAGCTGTATGTTTTCATCACACTGTCTATCATATTTTTCATCTCACGTTCTTTCATCCCCTACCTTAATCCTACCAAAGGGAACTTCCATCTCTCTGGAATATCTTTAGGATTTTGTTCGTAAAACTGAGGAATCTGTCCCACTGACTGAGTTGTGTTTTTGCTCGCTTTGTTATCCATGTTTGGGTTCATTCCTCATTTATTAATTATTAATCTATTATTTTTCTCAAATCAACACAAAGTTCGAACTAGGAACAACAACAAAAACCAATACCTATAACCTCAATCGTTGAGAATCGCAGAAAGCGGCAACCAAAATCCTTCGCTTCTGCTTCGCTTACGAACTCACGTTCGGCGTCTCCGACCTCATCCGAATATTGATACAGAGTACCGAAACGGCAAAAGCAGTCGATTACGCATGCTTTCGCTTTCGCTCAGAAGTATTTAACTCACATCCAGTGAAGGATCTGTACAGACTTTTTCAAAGTACAGAGATAATGGAGTGTGCACAATAAAAAAACTACTGGGCAAGATACAATAATGGGCCATCAGGCCTAAGTTGTGGTCGGAGACATTGGTCAGACAAGGGGACTCCCACACTATAATATGGGAGATCAGATCCTTATGATGTCCATAAAGGATTCACCTACGACTACTATAGAATGTATAGACAAGAACACACAAAATAAAGCCTCAGTATAAGTAGCTCTTTACGCACAGTAAGCACACCGCACTCGCCGCTTCGCGGCTACATGCGTAACTTTTCACTATTTCGCATTCGGTAGGCAAGAGTTCATTGGCGGTAGGCTTTCTGCTCGCTTCGCCAAGGTTGGTAGAACTGATGATTATTTTGATTATCATCAGTTCTACCAACCTTGCACTTCGCTCGCCATAGCGACTTCTAGCGGTTATTTACCTAACTTTTCATTTCTTGTTCAGCAGATGGCAACACTGTTTCCAATTTCGTGAATCGTGTTTCGTCTTTCTCCGCGTCCTGTTTCGTGTTCCATTCTTGTTCTGTTCTATCTAGGTTCTATGTTCTATCTAGTACTTCTACTTCTTGTTCTTGTCTTGTGTCAACCTTGTGTCTAGTTTGCTTGCTGTTCGCTTTCGAAACGTAAAACGAAACAAAAACGATTTTGTAAGTTTGTAGTGTTTGAATATTTTTACTTTGCTACAAAATTTCAGAACGTTTGGGAAGAAACTTCGTTCAACGATGTAATTTTCATAACCTGAAGCAGTAGGTGAAGAAACCTGTGTTCGTTTGTTTCACGTAAACATAACCTAGTTCTAACATGTCTTTGCCCCCGTATTTACTGGGGCCTAATCCCTGGGCCACGATGATGGCCCAACAACATTTAGCGGCGGCCCATGCTCAAGCACAAGCAGCTGCTGCTCAGGCCCATGCACATGCTTTGCAACAGCAAATGCCGCCTCCCCACCCCAAGTCAGATGTTATTACTGAAGACAAGTTACAGGAAAAAGGTGAGATAATTCATGTTATAATGGTTGCCTGTGTAAAGGTTATTCTTTTGCAGCTCAAAAATGGCATCAATTGCAGTCTAAAAGATTTGCAGACAAGCGAAAGTTAGGGTTTGTAGAGGCTCAAAAAGAAGACATGCCTCCTGAACATATCAGAAAAATCATCAGAGATCATGGTGATATGAGCAGTCGGAAGTATAGACATGATAAACGTGTTTATTTAGGGTATTTATGGCTATTTTCTATATACTTTATCCTATCTAAAATGTCTCATTTCCCAGCTTCCACTCTTATTGTCTAGTCATTCATTCATTCATCTCATATAAATTATGCTCTTTGAAGAAACTAAACAATTGCCCTTGTTCACTTGTTGAATGCATCTGAAAACCATTAATGAGTTGTTATCCTAAGATTTAGCCTCATAGTTATAATGAATATTCATCAAGTTCATCATTTAACCTGGTGATATGGAATTATGTACTGAGTGTCTCTATTCATATAACTGCTCTGGTGCAACTGCATAGTCATGTTACCAAGCCATGAATCATTGGTTTGTAATACACAATTCACATGATATTTTTCATCCCAATCAAATTGCTATTGAACAATAAGGTCAATTTGATAAAAAATATAGCCAATTTTACATTGCATTATCTTAAATTTGTACTTCCAACATGACATTTGATTTTTATACTAATTGAAATACATGATTTGGTGGGCCAATCAACTGGTCCCAACCCTAGGCACATAATCTTCTGAAGAGTCCTGGGACTGAGAATTAAGTGATTTTGAGGTTTGGTTTAAATCAAAATGAATTGCAAGGAAGTAAACAATGAAGCTAGAAAACATTTCCATTGCAAACTATTGATTGGAACACCTTTTTCTCCTGCATATATATATATATATTTATATATATATATATATCAATTTGATGTTTGTAGAGCATTGAAGTATATGCCTCATGCAGTGATGAAGCTTCTTGAAAATATGCCAATGCCATGGGAGCAGATAAGGGATGTTAAAGTATTGTACCATATTACTGGAGCCATCACATTTGTCAATGAAATTCCATGGGTTATGGAACCAGTGTATATTGCACAGTGGGGGTAAGTGTTTCTAAGATAATGATTCAGGATTTGCACAAATGTATATTACTAGGTATCAGAGTTGAATGGGTCTAAATACATAATCTTCTTCGAATAATTTTTGGAATATTTGCTCAAATTCAAGTTTTTGTTTCATGTTCAATTGATGGTTTGTGAGCAAACAATAATTGAAGAGCAAACTGAAACAGGAATATTACCAATAGATTAAGTATTGAAAATATAACAAAGCAATTATACTTATGAGATACAAAAAAGTATCCAAGGTAATACCTCCAGTCCTTCAAATATTATCCATAATTCTCTTAACTCTCTATGAAAACTTTTTAATTTGGCAAAAATATGAAAGTAATCCCACTCAGAAAATCAGGAGTCCCTAGGACCAGTGGTTTTATCTAATTTGGTTATTTTTCACCAATTTGAGAAAGATACACATTTCAGGAGTGATTGTAATTCTATATTCTCTTATTATGATTGATAATATGGTTCTAAAGGTGATGTGTATGAATATGATATGATAATAAGAGAATTAACTCAGGTGAGTCTAACTAGTTTTGAACTATACCCTAGGAATGTTATTTTTTATGGAAGGGTTAGTTTTTATTCAGTCCAGTGATAATTATTTTTTATTCAAACATCACACATACCTCTTTATTTATAGTTTTGTTTTAACAGTTGAACTATCGAGGACCATGCAGTGTTATCAGTATAATACATAATGATTGGCTAGAATAACAGATTGCTATTGGTTGAAACAAAGAAAACGTCAAATTTTGACATGTGAACAAAAATCACCAATATTCAGTTAGGTAGTGAAACCCACAAATTATGGATGCACCGGAATTCCGGCTGTACCACTAAATCCGGCCGATCCGGCCAGTTGGCCGGAACCACAGATACCGGAACTACCATTCCGGCCGGATTGCTTTGACCTGATCGCTTTCTGGCCAGAATTTTCGGAACTTTCTGGAAATGTTTGAGTTTTAAATTTTTGATAAAATTCAAATTCAAATATATGCAAAAATAAAGAAAATTATTTTAAGGTTTTTCCAATTGGCGCCTACTTACCTATTGTTAAGTCCTTAAGTAATCACAAATAATTTTTTTTTTGAACAAAATATATTTTCTTTCCAAAAATTACAAAACATAAATAGTAACTGAAAACATTATTAACAGCCAAATTCTAACCACAAAAATAACAGCCAAATTCCCTGTCATGGATAAATCTTATAAGAGTTTACAGTTAACATAAAAAATTAGCGTGAGAAACTCAAAACTTTGTATTCATAATTTATTTTACTAAGATTATGATGAATGAATAAGAGCTTTTCGGCCTTTTCAGAGTTTAGCCTACACCTATTATCAAATCAACAAATTTAATATATTACCAATTTCTGAAAATAGTTGCTCTGAATAGACACTATAGTTGCTGGGTTCCCCGACTTCTTTTTAATTTTTTCCTCATTGGCAGGTGGCTGCTATTCTCCAATTGAATGGGTAAAATTGTTTTAATTTGGTAATGTTGATTAAAAATTGATATTTAAATGAACAGTAATTTTATATTTTTATAGGTAAAATTAATGGTAATTAACACTCTGCATACTGTAGCTAGTTTTAAAAAAAGTAAAAATAATTCAGCCTCAATATTTTCAATGTTTTGCATATAGAAAAGGACATGCACATACATTTTTAATTTAGGTCCGGTTCCGGCCGGATTGGCAAAGTACCCGATCCGGTGCATCCTTACCACAAAAAATACAAATCAATAAATCAAGATAAATTCTATTTCCCATATGTGAGGACACATTTACAGGGTTGGCATATATGATATTTATATAAATATCCAAATATCCCATATATTAAATTAAATTATTTTATCTGTTTTAAATTACTTATTGGTACATTATTATAATGTTATAAACAATGTACATTTTTATTTCCCTTCTGTTATATCACAATAACAAATTGAAATACATAATATATTTTTGCCTTTAACTGTTGTTCAAGATAAAACAAAAATTGAGAACACAACAAATTACAGCCAAAAGAGAACAACTAAATAATATTTCTGTTATAAAACAATGAAACTAGTGAAAAAGGCTGCCTGGAATATCAAAATGAACTCGAGCTGTTTTTCATTAATCTAGGCATTGTAAAATTTGTATTGATAAAACAAACGCAAGATATTTCTCTGTTCAATAAGAAATCAAAACTAAATGTATGTACTATTTGGTATCTACAAATTATGTTTATTTATATAGCTGAAAAAAAAAATTGTACTCAACCTTATTTATTGATTTCTTATATGTTTTATTTGTTATTTTGTATTTATAAATTATGTTTATCTATATAGTACATTTCCCATGTTTTTTACCACACACAGGGTTCTACCCTCAGTGGAATTTTGATTTATTCATCAATTTCTTAAAATTCTCATGTATTTGTATATATGTGTGCATATGCATATGAACATGTGTGAATATGTACTCTTAGTAGTGATGAATAAATATTATTATTATTATTATTATTATTAATATTATTATTAAATAAAAGTGCCTCTGCCATGTGAGAAGGTGGACTAGAATCTAGCCTAGCACTATTATAGCAAGGTAATATTGCGCCTGGCTCACTGCTGCTCGCTGGCGCGAAAAACAGAAAAAAATCATCATTGAAATAGCGGATCACTCGACTCGGCCTAACCAGTAAATGCCTCCACAGTATTTTTTTCTCGCCGGCAATATTTCCCATATAGTGGTGCTATGCTATGGCTAGGCTCTAATGAAGATGAAAGGTGGTTGGGCTCCAACGTCTTCGGAAGACAAGGAATCACCGGAAATGGGAATCACCGCAACATATTTTTATAACAATCAATAGAATTTTTGGAAAAAAAGGGTTACAGAGTGTCCCTAAAGTGTTTTTACAGGAACTTACCACATATTCCTCAGACTAAATCAATTGGATACAAGCAAACTTACCTAAGTACAAAGTTGCTTCCTTTGGGTGCTAGACGGCTCTGAAGTTACGATTTTCAAATCGTTTTTGCTTCATAACTTTGAAACGGCTCATGAGATTTCTTTCAAATTTGGTATATTGGCAAAGCTTTACTGGCCAATGAAACCCATATGATTATGATGAATATCATTTCATGGTCGTAGAACTTGATTTTTTCAGTAAATAAACTTCCGAAACTTCTACGCCAATGAGGAGAAATAGGTTTTAATATGAAATTCGAGTTGCATAGCTTGTTTACTATAAAAAGGTAATTTTGATAAAATTCGATTACTCTCATGGTTTCGACAAATTTGCATTTTAGATAGATATCGATTCATTTATTGTGTTCTGAAAAAATACATTTCATCACAATCAAAGGAAAAAGAAACATTGGTTCACAGTTATACAAATTCCCATGTAAATAAATATAAGTTATACCTACAGGGTGAAGACTTTAACTAGAATAAATTCGGTACTGGGGGTGTGAATTATTTTTCTGAAAATCGCGAGACACGTTAACGTTTAAATGTATTTACCTACGGCCACTATCGAAAGTAGGCATGATCACACGAGGTACAGCCTCAGTAAGTAGCTTTATACGCACAGTAAGCACATCGCACAGTTTTTGTTTATTCCCCCAGTATTGGTATGTCATGATCGTGCTGTCGCCGTCAACAGCGGAAGACATAACTGTCAAAAATCATAATTCAGACTGTTTGTCCAAACTTTTTTGATGTACTATATAGCAGTAGGTAAAGTATAGTACGTAATGCGTGTTGTAAAGCAACACATTTTACATAATATACCTACAGTTGACGAGCAATATGGAGAAAATCAGGGGGTAGCTCGAATCAACCCCAACATGTTTTTTTCAAATGCAACCCTATGGCTACCGACCCCTCACGAAAGCTGATTGAAAGAGGAATCTAGGGTACTGATCATATTTCGGTTTGCAGTACGTTTGGGGGTCGCATAAAATCAAAATAAAATTTGGACTTTTAGTGACAGTGATATAAGGCATTTCCACCAGTTTGCAACAACACATCAATGATGAAAGTAAGATATGGTGTAATTGCTGATGCGCTTTTGTTTCAGAAATTTTACTCGACCTCTCGAGAACAGCGAGAGCAATGGTTCCGTCGATCTTCTAATAGATGGCGACATTGCACAACTATGGCATCTGTCAGTTTTGAAATTGTCACAAGATTTTTCGAATTCATAGTTGAATAATCCCACTGTTACATATGTTCCGCATACCAAAAATGCCATTTGCCATTTTATTTCCACTCGTCACAGCAGCAATAGCAGCATCACCATCTAGCGGGAAAATGTAGAATCAACGTCTCGCTCGTTGTGACGTAGAGAAATCATAGTAGGCGGTCGAGTTATTTTTCTGAAATTTTCAATACGTAAAAATGGCCGAATACGCGCACCATATCTTACTTCCATCATTAACACATCGTTTCGAACTATGAATACAACAAAAAAAAAACAAATTTCTTGTTGCGGCTCTATAAAAACACCGAAATACACTAATAGATGGCAGTTGTGGCAAAAAATTGTGTTCAACACACATTTTGAGCGATTGAAACGTTGAAAATAAATTGAATTTTGAAATAACATTTCAATTTTATGCAACCCTTAAACTCATGAAAAACTGAAATTGGGTAGTACCCTGGATGTATTAGATCATCAATACTCCTGATTTCTGACAAAATCCCATTTTGCCTTATGCCTGAATAGATAGGGCTTTCAAACAGAATATGTTGCAGGGATTCAGTTACCTGTAGATTACAATTTGAGCAAACTTCTGTAGGGTCAATAATGTAAACGGAACCATGAAATGACAACATCAAATACTTCGCTACAAGTCCTGATTTGGGCGATAATACGCGTTATGTAAATTTGCGAGGTAACACTTAGATAGGATTTTGATATTCAATTTTAGTAATTCAAAGCATCAGTCAACACCAAAACGATTGAGAGAATTTTCATGAAAATTGTTCAGAATAATCATAATTTCCACGTATACAAATATTAATACGACGAAAACAATGCATACAAGTACACTCACTTCACTACAAAGTTTCTCAGTCTGGGCGCTAGACAGTTTTGGCTTACTCAGTACAAAAAAAGAAACAATAAAAAATACCTGATAGCACTTCAATTTTTTTCATCGTATACGTACGTAGGTATTTCGTTTGTATAAGAAGAAATAATGAAAATTTCGAACGGTTTTTAGGTACTATCTAACGATCGTTTTCCTGTTGAATTACTAAAATTTAAATTTTGTCGAAACCATGAGAATAATCGAATATCAACAACGGTACTATAAGCGATCCGAAGGAACGACCCTGTATTTCATGTTTGTTGGGTGTTGATTCATTATGGGTTATGTAAGGAATAAAGGCTGGAGCGGATGAGCTGGTATGGAATTTGGGATGATAAGCAGCGAGTCAGTATGCTCAACGCGTTCAGACAGTGATGAACTGTAATACCTAGTTTTGCTATTCACTATACTTGTTCATTCACGTTTTCGGGGTTTTCTGAGTGTTAGTCTAATTCAGCAGTTTATAGTACATTTTTTGTAGTATACAAGTTTCGTAATCCAGATTTTATATTGAACCCCCTTTCTTTTCATTGGCGTAGAAGTTTAAGATGTTTATTTACTGAAAAAATCAAGTGCTACTCCTATGGAATGATATTCATTATAATCATATATGGGTTTTATTGCCCGATAAAGCTGCCAACGCCAAATTTCAATAAAATTTCATGAGAGGTTTCAAAGTTATGAAGCAAAATCGATTTGAAAATTGTAACTTCAGAGCCGTCTAGCGCCCAGAAACTTTGTACTTAAGTAAGTTTGCTTGTATAGAATGGGCGAGTGGACTGATGATGAATTATTGGCATTCAATTACTCCACTGTGTTGTTAGGGACCTAAATTAATTTTTGCAATGCTCTCACTCTTTTTTATGTAAATAATGGGTCTATGCAAAATTGTTTAATTTCAAACGCACGGTCCAAATATTTCTTATACTCCATAACAAAATATCATGTAAATGTTGGAGACTTGGCAACATTGTGCTGAATGCTGGGAACTGACAAGACCACGCCACAATTCTTGCGCCGTGTTGTCACGTTTACCGCTTCAAATGTTCTCTAGTTTGAATTAATATAATAATTATTATTTACACAAATTTATGATGAGCAATCAGCCACAATTGGGACAATTGATTTTTTATTTCCAATTAGAAATATTACCAATACATATTTTTTAAGTTCCCAATCGTATTTCAACACATGGCAACTGTGTTATGGTCTGCCTCTACTGACGAAATCTTGACGTCAGTTTTTACTCACGATAAATTTCTAGCCGTTGGCATTATTGATGATTTTGGCACCTAAAAATCGACCATAAAATTCTAAAAAAAAATATGGAATTGAATGTTATTCTATTGATTCAATTTGAGAATTAAAAAAAAAGTCTATTCAACTATTATTTTGGTCTGAGGAATATGTGGCAAGTTTTTGTAAAGACCTTTTAGGGACACCCTGTATATATATCACTATATATGCCAACTTGGAATATAGTGTTCAATAATCCAATATACAAGGTGTCCCAGAAAGGTCCGTACAAAATATTCCTGTAATCAAAATGAGCCGATTTGAAGCAACTTACCTCAGTCTAAGATTGCTCCGTTTTCGAGATAGATAAACTTTTTATAGCTCATAGCTTTTGGACTATCCAGAAGTGAGAAAAAAATCAAATAAACATCCAGGTTCGTATTAAAAAAAATTTTTGCTGATTGTTTCTGGAAGAAGTAAAAGAAGCTATGATAATGTGACATTCATTTCAATTAATTTCTTCAAATAACGTGAAAACGGTTTTAGTAAATTTCTGTTGTTTTTGGGTAGCATCGAAGATATTAGACATTTTTCGAGTTACAAAATAACATTTTGAGGTATTAAATCGCAACTTCGCCATAATTTAACCGACCCAGTATCCCTTATTTATTTCACGAGATCCCAATGATGAAGCTCTAATTCTAGTCACCCTGTATAATGAAAAATGTTTGGAAATGGAGAACCGTAACCGTGCGATGTAAGCGTTCAACTTGCTAGATCACCTTTCACTATAAGCTGTAGGTCCCTCTTTCGTCGAACCAACACTATACTACATTCCGAATAAGAAGACAGAGGTGGCGCTGCCTGAAGGAATATTTACACTGAAGAAATAAATAAAATTATTCTGATGATTAAATGATATTTTAAGTTCGTGTTTGTTCTCAGGATTTGTTGTAACATATACAAAAATTCGAAAATGACTGAAATGTGATAATTTGATAATCTTAGAATGAAGAAAACGTTAATCTTTTCGTCACGTCATACGTCATAATATTAGGCAGGTGTTATTATATATTTATAGGAACAAGGTTACGGTTTCACGACTGCGCGAAGTACTACAGGAGTGAGGTCAGGTACAAGGGCGCACTGCTACCTACAAAAATTTTGAAAAATTGAATAAGACAGGTTATGAATTCTTATGATTTCGTTGTGTTTTCATGGGTTGTCGATGAGAAATTCATGAAAGTTTTCAAAAATGACTGGTACGAGACGTGTTGTGAAGGCTGATGGGATGATGATAATATGAGTGCAAAATTGGCAAGATCAGTTTTCATTCATTTCCTGAAATCATACATATCAGATATCAGTGGATGAGTTTTTATCAGCAGCCTGAGGATTGAAAACAAAATCTCCAATGTAGAATTTGATCTGTTCATCTAGATACTGATAATTTCCTAAAGGAAAGGAAGAACAGGCTTGAGAAAAAAAAACGGTAAAATATAATGATAAAATGTTTTCCCAGATTGCTGATAGCCGCTATAAAAAAAATTAGTTATTCTCACAATTCGGAAATGTATGTATTAAATATTTATATTAATTTTATGTTTTGTCTGGTAGTTAGAATTGCAGCACATATTTTTGTCTGATAGTTAAAGCTTGCAAATGACCAAAAGCTCACTATACTATATACTCTGGTGGATCCATGAAGCATTGTGTGAGTAACAAGTACAGAAAATCTCTTGTATGTAAGGATAAGAAGTAGTCACTTTATGATATGCTCACTGTTTGAGGTTAGCCAGTTAAGGAGTGCTTTTTCTTTTCTTTAAAAACAAAATTTCGTACTTTTATGTCTTGAAACTGCTGCTGAATGTGTATCCATATTGCTCTAAATTCTTTTGTAACAACAAATTTGATTTTTCAGTTCATCATTCGGTGTTCCAATCCAAATCTGTTATCTTTTTCAATATTTCATGTTTATTTTTCGGAAACTAATCCTAAGTCCCTTACGTATAGGCATCTGTCATCTGTTCAAATAATAGAATAGGTCGGTTCATTTGTGTTGTTAAACTTGCTGAAGTTGGCTTTTGTCTATTGTTAACTCTGTTCATCACAAGATATAAACAGTTCAGCAAGTTGAGTGAACACAATCGAAAAGGCCTAATATATTCATAGCTTGGCTATTCTGGTCCGCCCTCATGTGACGTCATCAGAAAGGAATTTCAAGAATTCAAGATGACGGTTATCCGTAACCCTGTCTCTATACATAATATATAATAACCCTGGGTGTAATATTGTATCCAATCATAACGAAGGTCAACGCTTCCTTATGGTTTCCAATGCTGTCTTCTCTAAGTTCGAATGGACTATAGTTTCGCCTATGGGCAATCGAATTTCAATTGCAAAGTAGCGATACACGATTTTCACAAAATGCATCCGTTCAGAACCATGTGGATCATGATGCGGCGAGAAAAAAGAGACCGTAGACACTTCAAGAGGATGCGATTCCCCCCGTTCGACGACGAGGAACCCCCCCTCGACTATGCGGACAACGTGCTGGACGTGGAACCTCTGGAGGCCATCCAGATCGAGCTGGACGCCGACGAGGATTCCGCCATCGCGAAATGGTTCTACGACCACAAGCCGCTGGTCGGGTCCAAATACGTGAACGGATCCACTTACAGGTAGAGTGACTTCTTTATTAAATGAAGTGGCGACAATCAGGGTTTCAAAAAGTCAAGGTTTTTTTGATTAAATAATGATTTTTTTCTGTGACGGGAAAAAAGTTTGGCATTTCATCTCTGTTGGCAGGTTATAAAATGTCACTTTTCATAAATTACTTTTTTTCCCTGGGAAAGAAGTGAGTACTTTTTTCCCGGATATATATCACATATACCGGGTGACACAGGGTATCGGGCCACCCCTGTAACTTCTGCATTCGTCAACGGATTTTTCTGATATTCGTTACAGTTATATAAGCAATTATTTCGGATTTGATCTCATCACAATCCAATATGGCGGACTTCCGGTATTCCTGGAAATGCCAGCAACTTTGTTTTTTCAAATGAAACACCCTGTATATTTTTAGATATTCAAGTTCAACAGGTCGAAACAAGTGCAATCTCTATTTCAAATGTCATTTTTTCGAAAAAATTTAAATTAAAATTGTTTTTTCATTTTACCTCGTGGATGAGTCACACATAACAGAAGAACATAATTTTTTCTGAAAAATTATTTTTTGTGTCACTTATCCAGGAATCAATTCAGCCACATCACTTTTTGATAAAAAATTATTTTTTTTCAAATGGAACCCCTATGGGCCACCTACCCGTCTCTCTAGATCTAGAGTCTAGATCATACATTAAGGAACAAAATGACATATCATTTTTGTTTTTCGGTGCAGCAACAAATTGTATACATTCAAAAATCAACAACTAGTTTATGCATGATTTTCTTGCAGTTAGAATAATTTTTCAACTATAGGTAGGCTGTGGAATAAATGACATTTGACATCAAGATTGCACTTGTTTTGACCTGTTGAACTTGAATATGTGAAAATATACAGGGTGTTCCATTTGAAAAAACAAAATTGCTGGCATTTCCAGAAAAACCGGAAGTCCGCCATATTGGATTGTAATGTGATCAAATCCGAAATAGTTGCTTATATAACTGTACCGAATTTCAGAAAAATCCGTTGACGAATGCAGAAGTTACAGGGGTGGCCCGATAACCTGTGTCACCCGGTATATACACTGTTGATGGCTTTTGTTGTGCTATAGTTCCGAAAAATGAGTCAATAATACCGTCTCCCAGAAAGAACTGCCAGTCCTTTTATCTTCCATTCGACTTCGCGGTTATGTATATTACTAAACATCCACTAAATTCGCAATTTTTTGAAATCAAATCACAGAATTAGACTGACAGAAGTGACATCAGATATTTGATTACTTCAAAAGAATGATAAAGATGCCTACAACGCAGGTGTCCCTACTGTTAAAAACTTGAAATTTCACGTCGATAATTTTCAGATTTCAAAATAATGTAATATCATCTCAATATTGATTCGCCCTTTCTTCTGTCACAGAAAAAAATAGTGTATTATACCTGTCGGAACAAGGAATTTCGTCTTTAAAGTTACATAATGTTTGTAAATACCTAGTTTCGAATAAACTATCTACCTATTTTTGAATTTTCTGATGAGCATTCTGCTTCGGGGACTTATTTCCATAGCAATTTATAATTCGTTTCAAATCACGAATAGAATTGAAAAAATCAGTTGATTCAATAATAATTAAAATCCGTCTTCTGGTATGCTTAAGTCTTAGATTTTATTTAGATATTGAAAGCAAAATAAGAAATATCTAACCTTACATCAGGTGGGCACTTCGAAGGCGCAAATTCATTACTGCATCGGAGATACCCTTCAGATTTTTAGCTATTCAGTGACTTGACCACGAAAGGCATTCCGGAAACGGCAGCCATTTTTGAGGGCTATTGTCGCCACTATATTTTATAAATTCTCTCTACCTACAGGAAGTGGAATCTGTCCTTGCCCATGATGGCGACGTTGTATCGGCTGGCCAATCAGCTGCTGACTGACTTGGTGGACGAGAATTATTTTTATCTGTTCGATACTAAGAGTTTCTTCACCGCTAAGGCGTTGAATATGGCGATTCCGGGAGGGCCGAAGTTTGAACCTTTGATCAAAGATATGAATCCAGCGTAAGTGAATTCTACAATATACTTAACAATGGAAGGCAAAGTTGTGTCATCACAGCGTCATATTCTTGTCAAATACGTTTCCAAACAAATAGCTGTCACTGCCGATCATTTGCCCTCGAGCAAGACTTTTTGAAGCAAATATCTTGATATATGCCTCAAAATTGTAATTCTCTTTTTATGATTCCTCTAGATTAGGCATCACTTTATTTTGTACTGAAACATAAAATTGAAGTCGATTATATTATGTACCAAATATGAGGAAACAAACAAAAATTTAAATATTATGACAGCTCTTACTTTAACTTCTACTTCGCATAATATTTTTTATTATTTATATTTGCATGAACGTTTACCTATCATATATCACTTTCCAGACACAGGTGAGTACTCTGCTCAAGTTATCAGTTTTTCTTCTTTTCTAAAAAACTTCACGATCCCACCAATTTCACGTATATGAGCTGTAACCTCATTAATTAATCAATTCCATTATCTAGAAAATAACCACTAAGGATATAACACAAATATTCTCACCATTTTCAAAACGAATAGTTTGGAAACATATTTGACATGAACTGTCATCTGTGACGTCAAGCTTTCCTGGACCATTACACTAGGATATACAGTGACATACGATATGAAATACAATACGATATACAATGTGACATATAATACACCGAAATTATTGTTTTATTTTCAGAGATGAAGATTGGAATGAATTCAATGATATCAATAAGATCATCATAAGACAACCTATTCGTACAGAATATAGGATTGCTTTTCCATATCTATACAATAACATGCCTCATTTTGTTCATCTTTCTTGGTAAGTTTCTCTCAATAGTGCAGTATTTTTTCAGGTTATGTTTTTTTTTATAATTTGGTATGTATGGAACTTGTCTAAAACCTTTTAGTCCAAGAGCCGGTTGCAAATTTCGAATGTCATCTCATAACGAAATGGCATATGTCTCAAAGGCATGTGAAAACATTGTATTTTTTTTAATGGTACCTGTGCCAATCACTATCCTAAGCAAAATGATTGGAAATTTGTATTTTTATGTGCGGTAATTTGCACTACATTTCGCGATTTGATAACGAGATAGGAATTATACCATCTGATACCAATTGAATGATAGATCTCAAAATCCTACCTTTGCCATTCCTTAACCTTAAATTGGGCCTTTTTGAATGCTCAAAATCAAAATCAATTAACATTTCCTATTATCTCTAAAACGCAGCTAGGTAGGACACACGTTCATATGAATTTCTTCAATAAAATTATTCTAAAAGTTTCCTTTTTCAATACGTATATTTCAATTAGGAAAACCATGTATATGGAGCTGAAATTCAATGACAATATATCGATATTAACTTGATTCAATAAATAAATCCGATCATAGGCATTTTATTCAAAATCCGAAATATTATTCCCATAAAATACTTGAAATGTATTTACTTTTGCCTCATTTATTCAAATTTGCAATATTTAATTTCTATTTGGGGAGTACAAATATTTCACGTCTGAAACCACTAATGAAATTACAAAACAAATCAATTAAGTGCATTTTTCATCTACATTTTCTAGAACCAACGATAAATTTATACAAACCAAGACATTTTCTGAACCTGATTTCGTTATATAAACTTAAAATATGTTGCTTTATTCATTTTGCCAGGAATAAGTTGAAAATATCAAATTTAGCTTTCATAGAAGTCAATACAGTCCCTAATTTTGGGACTAGACAATTGAATTACTTGATAGCAAATACATTCAAGTCAAACATTGGCAAACAATCTGTTTTTCACAATGGAATAATTTTATACAATTCATTACCGAATGAGTTGGAAAATATACATGATGCAAGAAGGTTTAAAATCAATCTTAAAAAATACCTGCTCAGGACAATTTGAAAAAAAAATATGTGGCATGATTTGATTACTTAGGAATGAAATATAACTTTAATCTTATAAGACACAATATTAATTCGTTTCCACTGAGTGGAATTCATTATAGTTAACCCTTTATTATTATTTTTTATATGAATTTATGTATCCCTATCAGAAACAGAAATGTTTCTTGGGGTAATAAAGACAATCAATCAATCAATCAAATGGACATCTGGACATCCACATTTGTTTGACATTTATCCTATGGACTTATTAAGGGCATAAATGTATAAACAAGTGGTATACAAATTTCTGTGACGTGATATACTCTTCATTCTTGAGTCGAAAATGAAGAGGCTGATAAGTTACATACATTTGCTATTCACAAATTTATTTATTTGTAGTTATTTTTGTCACCTATGGATCTAAGATCAGAATTTTCTACAAACTTTTGAAATTTTATCTCCGATTACAAAAATATAATAATTACTAATCTTGACTGGTTTTTATGTGGATCTGATGGTATCAATTTTCCTATAGTATTACTATTGGAAGTTACATGACACTTTCAAATCTGGTGGTCGAATATATCAACAATAGTGCTTCCTAGATTTGTTGAATGATATTTTATTCAATAACATGCATTCCCAGTCGTGGGGTTATTATCTTGATTGCTGTTTGAATCTTTCAATTGTTGAACTTTCCACAATAGATTATATTATATTATATTCTAATGGCAACCTGAAATATGTTGAAATATTTTAGGTATCATGCACCTAACGTTGTTTATATCAAAACTGAAGATCCTGATTTGCCGGCATTCTATTTCGATCCCTTGATCAACCCCATTTCCCACCGTCATGCTGTCAAAAGTTTGGAGCCTTTACCAGACGACGATGAAGAATTCATTCTGCCTGAATCAGTGCATCCATTTCTTCAAGAAACTCCATTGTATACTGATAATACCGCTAATGGTATTGCATTGCTCTGGGCACCTAGACCATTCAACATGAGATCAGGTAAGAATTTTCAATTCTATCATTTTCTGTATTTTATTGAAAATGTCACTAATTGGATTATTTACCTACTTCAATAGAGCATTAGCGACTTATGTAAGTCCTAAATAAGCTAGGTCAATGAAATTATCGTCAAAACTGAATTTTTTGAGAAGATTTCGACATTTTCGAAATTGCGAGGTTGGAAGCGATTTTTTGAATGGAACATTCGGTGCTGTTTCATTCCATATTTTTTAAAATACACAAATAATGTAGGTAGTACACTGTGAAAAATATTATACTGTTTTCCACTGGACTGAAATTATACACTCAGTGTATATTATCCTTATATGATGACACATGATGAATGAAAACATCCAGTGCGGAAAAAGTTGGTGCTAAGTCAGATTATGGCGGATTTGATTTTTGTACATTTGTGAAAAGCATGTGAAAAGTTAGGACTATGATACTGTTAATATGTGACTATGACACTGTTAATCTGTGACTATGAGGTTAAAAATTACCTTGTCAATCACTTTGAAGTCGATACTTTGAAAATGGGCACCGGATATCTAAACTCCGTTTTGTTTTGGGTAAACTTACAACTTTTTTGACTTACAAACGTATTGCGAAATTCCACTGTTTGAAGTGGGTTAAAACATACATATCAAGCTAATATAAACGTTTAAATAGAAGCATTATAATGTTGTTCAAAGGAGATTCCGCGTTACATACAAACATACATACCAAGCTAATATAGGCGTGTTAAAAAAACCACCAGAATCTTTCTTCACATTATTTCGTTTGTTCTTTGTTCTTTGGAATCATATTTCATTTTCCATTTGTAACCGACAAGTTATAGAGATTTATACTTCCCCAACTTGAGATATTTGTCAGTCCTTATTGGTCACAGTGAGACATGCACATACCATCGTAGGAAGATTTTTTGCAAAAAAATGGCTGAGGCAAAGTATTCTTGAAGCCTACGTCAGTACAATCATAAATGCAGTAGGCTTACTCTGTGTTATTAGCTAACCACGGTACAATGTACAACTCTAACAAAACTCAGGTTTAGTGTTTTGGAACAAAGATACTACGCATGCGTAGAGAAGGGGGATATCTAAGAGATGTCCATCTCGGGTTATTTTTCATTTGCTTAAGTTGGGGAGGTATAAATTCTCCAGATGCAAAGGGCAAATTTGTTATTAAAGACAGGAGAGCAAACGAACTCAAAGTCGTTGGACCACAATATTTAATATCAAAAATATGACTATAGTTTCGGCTCTACGGCCATCTTCAGACACAATTAAAAAGTACCTAGAAAGTAATGAGTAGTACAGGTGTTGAACAAAATGGTAGCTGAGAAAGAGATGACATACCTGTCGTGTGGAAAAACATCTTAAAAAAACAAGTTTCAGTAATAATCGGTTCGTTATAATAATGATCAGTCCAGCCTCACAATCAACAAACTTTGTAACGGCTGAAAAGCCAAAAGAACATTACAATAAGTAAGTTCAACATCAGGAAAAAGGAATTAATTGGAAATCTACTCAAATGAGCTTCATCTGACTGCAATCAAACCATTAAAGGAAAGACACAGAAATGTAAAAATTCGTTTTTTCTCCTGTTGAAAAATACCAGACCACTTTGAGAATGGATGGTTTCCATGACTTTTTATTAAAGAGTTTATGATGATAATTGAGCTGAATATGAAGGAGATTATTCCTGGTTTAGAGCATATTTCATGCCAAGAAATTAATTGATTTAATTTTCAATGTCATGGAGGTTTCTATATTGCATTCTCTGCAAATGTTTTAAAGGGCGATGCAGAAGAGCCATTGACGTGCCACTTGTCAAATCCTGGTACATGGAGCATTCTCCTCCCGGTCAGCCCGTCAAAGTGCGAGTCAGTTACCAAAAACTGCTCAAATACTATGTGCTGAACGCTCTCAAACACCGACCTCCGAAGGCCCAGAAGAAAAGGTACCTCTTTAGGTCCTTCAAGTCCACCAAGTTCTTTCAAACCACCACGTTGGATTGGGTGGAAGCGGGTCTGCAGGTTTGCAGGCAAGGCTACAACATGTTGAATTTGCTCATCCACAGAAAGAATTTGAACTATCTACATTTGGATTATAATTTCAATCTGAAACCTGTGAAAACTCTTACTACTAAGGAAAGAAAGAAGTCTCGTTTTGGAAATGGTGAGTTAATGAGATATAATGTGAATGTTTTTGTTGGCACCTATCATCCAGAAAAAATGATGTAGATAACTACAAAAAATATAAGCGTCTTTCCGGACCAATATTCCTGTCTTGGATGTGGCTGTACACACTAGTCAAATTTATGCCATATACCTATTCTATATTGATCATTCCGAGTATACATAGTATTTGATCCAATCATTTGTCTATAGAGGGTTAATGCTTTGTGAGTGGATTTTTGGCAATTATTTTTTTAACATCTGTTCAAAGAAATTTATTTTCTACTGCTATGACACAAAATTGCTCTTGCTCTACTGTTTTCAATAAGTCAATGAGGTACATTGTATGTCTTATATTTTATTTCCTTATCTGAGAATTCAATCTCCCATAAAATGTCAAATTTCAAGCAATGACAGCTCTGTTTAATAGATTATTACTCAGGAGAAATTCAGAAGGCTACAAGCCTATGACTCATGCTGCAAACTTCATTTTCATAGGAAGTGACTATCATTCCGTGATCGTTAAACAGAATATTGTTATTTTTTCGATTTGTAAAATATAACTTGTTTACCACAAACCATTTTTGTGCAATGGAGAGTTGATAAACGGGGTGAAAGAAAGGGAATTTTTGCAATAATCTTGATATGCCTACTAGTTTACCAAATAGTTTCATTTCATTTATTTTATGTTGATAGTTTTTTTAAATGTTGTTCCATTTCAGCTTTCCACTTGTGCAGAGAAATACTGAGATTGACGAAATTGATTATTGATTCCCATGTACAATATAGATTGAACAATGTTGATGCTTTCCAACTAGCTGATGGATTACAGTATATTTTCGCCCATGTCGGACAATTGACGGGAATGTACCGATACAAATATAAACTTATGAGACAAATTAGAATGTGCAAGGATTTGAAACATTTGATTTACTACAGATTCAATACGGTAAGTATAAGAATTGAATTTTAGTATTTAAAATATTGTTGAGTGATTAATATAGGGACACTTCAAGATTGCATATGAATGTGTTCTAAAATAGTTCAGTGGAAATGTTTCAAAAGAAACTCATACAAAAATTTCACATGGCTAGTGAGAAGGTAGGTACAGGTGTACCTACTGAGATACAAAATGTCTATGAATAATTTCAACAAAATATGACTTGTATTTTAAATTCACAAGATATTGAGAGTAACACTACTAATTTCACAGAATAGAACTTACTATTTGTTGCTGGATCTTTCATTAGTTATTTATGGCAGAAGCTCATCAATCTCCTTTAATAATTTGAGTAATTATACTTTGTGGAGATGACATCCTGAAAATCAGACAGATTTCGTGATTGGAAGAATTATTTTGGACTGTGTACCAGAAATAATACACAAGTGAATTATCCAATGATGTAATAGTATTTCGGTTAAGATTAGATTAGATTAGATTTAGAATGGGGCCTGCGGGCTATCTGCCTCCACACCGCGACCTTTTCAGATCTATTGTGTCTGCCCTCAAAATCGATTAGAGTTCTTCGGCTAGCCCCGTCTTCTCTATGAGACTCCATAGGCTAGCTTTCAGATCCCCTGTGTATCTCTGGGCTTCTGGTTTTTCCTCACCCAGCGTAAGGAACCTTAGTCTTGACAAGCCCTCACAGTGGCAAAGTATGTGTACTGCTGTTTCCTCCTCTTCCTGACAGAACCTGCACAGCAGTTCTTCAGTCAGACCTATCGTACTCATGTGTTTGTTGAGCCTACAATGCCCTGTGAGAAGTCCCACTAGTATTCTAGTTGAACTTCGTTTCTGGCTTAGTAGATATTCTGTGAATGTTGGCGATGGTTTTTTAATAAACTCTTTTGCCTGTCTCATTCCTGGCGATTTGTTCCACCATTCTTGAGATTTGGTTTGCATCCATGATTTGATACTAGTCTTTTGTATAGCTTTCGCAATACCACAGAAGGGTTCTGGGCCATTCAGAGCTTTGTTTGCTCCTGCTCGGGCAAGTGAGTCTGCCTCTTCATTGCCCTCGTACCCTGTATGTGCTGGTACCCATGCTAGAGTCAGTCTGTTCTGACTGCCCAGTGCATTTAGGGTTTCTAAGCAGTCCCATACTAGTTTTGAGTTAACTTGCATAGAGTTGACTGCTTTGATTGCCGCCTGGCTATCTGAATAGATTGCAATGGTTTTGCCTTTAAACTCTTGCCTTATCAATTCTTTCACGCAATGATGTATTGCAATAATTTCTGCCTGAAACACCGTCGCTTATTTACCTAAGCTCAGTGAGATTCTTGTCTTTGGCTTGGCCCCATAAATACCAGCTCCTGATCCAAACTCAGTTTTGGAGCCGTCCGTATAGACAGCAATGTCTGCATTGATAGGAGGTCCTTCCTTCCATGCCTCTCTGTCCGTTATACTTATTTTAAAAGTTTTTTCAAAGCTATATTTCGGAACTACGCCATCCGTTGGCATTCCCATGATGGGGTCGCTTTCCAACTCTTCATATAGCTTTCTATAGTCTTTACCGTGCGCGTTGCTTATGGGTGCTTGACCCCTTGACAATCTACTCACGACTGCTCTGGCTTCGCCTTGAATATATATTTGTAGTGGTGGTAGGTTCAAGAGGACCTCTAGAGCGGCTGTTGGAGTGGTTTTCATTGCACCAGTGGCACTCAGGCAAGCTTGCCTTTGAATAGCACTGAGCCTTCGAATCACTCCAGCCTGTTGTGTCTTTGGCCACCAAACTACTGACCCATATGCTATCATAGGCCTGATGACGCTGGCATAGAGCCATGTGGTCATTTTTGGTTGCAGTCCCCAATTTTTCCCGCACATTCGTCTGCACAGATTGAAGGCTACTGTACTTTTTTGAACAATTTTTTGTAGGTGTTGATTCCATGTTAACTTATGGTCAAAGATGACTCCTAAGTATTTTGCCTCTAGGGCGAACGGAATTTCTACCCCGTTGAGTACTGGTGACTTTAATCCTTCCAGTACTCTCTTTTTCGTGAAATTCACTATAGTGGTTTTATGAGGGTTCACGGTGAGTTCCTCCTCTTTACACCAATTGTCAATTATGTTTAGAGCGATTTGTGTGAGCTCCGAGACCGTACTTGCGAATCTACCTCTAGCGATAACCGCCAGGTCGTCGGCATATCCTAAGCAATAATACCCTTTGGATGTTAGCCTTTTGATCAGTTCGTCCATTAGAATGGCCCATAGTAGGGGCGATAATACTCCTCCCTGTGGGCATCCCCTATCTGCTCTAGCTGTCAGAGTTGTCTCGCCAATTGTGGATATGATAACCCTATTTTTCAAATTGACATTTATCCACTGGCACAGGAGTAGCGGTACTCCTTTCCTTGCTAGGGCATTAATTATAGAATTTGTTGATGCGTTATTGAAAGCACCTTCTATGTCTACGAATGTTGTTATAGCTATTTCTTTGTCCTCTATCGACTTTGCGAGTAGCCTGTTCAGATCATCCAGTGCTAAGTCAGTTGACTTGCCTGGCTGATACGCATATTGGCGTTCGTTGAGCGGGTTTCTTTGTAATACCTCGTCTCTTATGTATCTGTCTATCAGTCTTTCCAGCGTTTTGAGCAGGAACGACATTAGACTTATTGGGCGGTATGATTTTGGCGTTTTGTCACCCACCTTTCCCACTTTGGGAAGGTAGATGACTGTCACCTTCTGCCATACTATGGGTATATATCGTATTGCTATACAAGCCTTGAATATACGACACAAATGTGGAATTAGTATTTCCTGCCCCTTTTGAAGCAGGATGGGGTATATTCCATCTACTCCAGGGGATTTATAAGGTTTAAATTTATTAATAGCCCACCTAATTCTGTTTGGCCTCGATATCTCTGTAGCTAGCCTCCATTCTATGGCAGTTGGCCTATTCGGCCTGCCAATGGTGCTGTCTGCCACTATCGGCTCATTTAGAATTACTGAGGCCGGAAAGTGTGCTTCAGTGAGCATTTTCAGACTCTCCTCAAAAGTTGCTGTGTAGGTATTGTCATTCTTCTTCAGAAAACCTACTTGGTTTACAGTACCTTCTTTGGCTAGCACTTTGTGGATCCTTGAACATGTGGGGGTTTCTGTGACCTCCTCACAGAACTTTTTCCACGATTGCCTTTTCGATTTCCTAATCTCTTTGTTGTACTGCGTGAGTTTAACCTTATATGTGGTCCAATTCTGGTCGAGTTTTGCTTTGTTGAATAGCCTTCGCACCTCCCCTCGTAGGGTTTCGAGATGCTTGTTCCACCAGATTGTTTTATTGCTTTGTTGTCTTGTTTTTTCCGGGCAGTTACCTTCGTAGGCGGCAACTATTGCCTTGCTTACTTGGTCTACTGACCTCTCAAGACTGTGGCTGTCCCTTATGTCAGCCGTGGTCCTTTGTAGAGATTCTCTGAGTGATGTTGTGTATCCTTCCCAGTTGGTCTCTCTGGGGTTTCTGTACTTTGTTAAGGTACGAGGTGGGGTAATTATATCAAATCTTATTTGTCTATGGTCAGAACACGAAGGTTCATCTGACACATGCCAGTTGACGATATTATCACATGCTTTTTCTGACGAGAGAGTTATATCTAGAACTTCTTTCCTCGCTGCCGTGACAAATGTTGGTTCGCATCCTACATTAGCTATTAATAACCTTTCTGTTAGTATGAATTGCAAAAGTGACTCACCTCTTATGTTGACGTCTGTGCTTCCCCATACAGTATGGTGTGCATTTGCGTCGCATCCTATGATGAGTTGGAGGTTTGCCCTTGCCGCATATGCGATTACTTCGCCTAGTATCGGTGGTGGGCAAACCTCCTCGCCTGGGAAATACGCGGAGCTCACTATCCAGCTTCTGGTACCTTCTTCTGTCGGCGTGGTTAGGAGTCCTGTAACAACATCACCGGTGCAGAGCACCGGTATTAGTGTGCATTTTACTCTATCGCTATATACTATGCATGCGCGAGGTTTATTGTTACCTTCTACGTATAGTACTTTACCTTGGTTGGGTTTCAAGCCAGCTACCCTCCCTCCATGTAACCAGGGTTCTTGCAAGAGGGCCAGGTCGAGACCCTCTTTATCAAATCTCCTACATACCATAGCGCTGGACGCCTTGGCATGATGGAGATTCAACTGCAGAACCCTGATCCTACGGTTCAGTTCTGTGAACTGAACCCTTCTTCCGCCTTCTTCGAGGCATCTCCCTCCTCCATGGGTGTTGCGCTCTCATGTGCTATTTGCCTCTTGAGAGGGCTACTCCCACTTTGGGAGGACTCTGTCTCGTCCTCTTCTTGTGCCTCTTGGGCCTCCGGAATCGGCTCGGCGTGTTCTTCTTGTTCCTTGACATGTTTCCCCTTCTGTCTGAACTTAATTCTCCCTAGATTGAAGTAGGGAGACATGTCAAGTTTCACTAGTTCTTCCAGTGACTGTTTGTCCATGGAGAAGACCCAAGTTTGACCTTTGGCCGCAGGAGTTTTGCCCCAAACCGTCCAAAGGTGCGTGTTTAGCCCATGATTTGCGACTTTGAGCCGGTGCAGAATTTTTTCCGCCTCCGGCTTTTGCCCTCTTTCATCAGGGATGAAGGTAGTGCAGGCGTAGGTTTCAGGTAAGTCATCCCCCTCCAACACTGTTAGGGTAGCTCCCTCCCAGGGTTTTATGGTTGGGATGACCTCCTTCAACCAGTCTGCACTAGTGCGATCCACGCACATCATAACCAAGTATCCCGGTTTATGAGTGCATTTTGCGAATCGCACTTGGGGTCCCTCTATGGGGATTTGATCTAGAGCCTCGGAGATTGAGTCCTGGACTTCTGTGAGCCTTTCAGTACTCATTTTCACCTCCGGGAAGCCCGTGTGTACCACAGCAACCTTTACTGAGGTAAGGGCATCTTTGAAGGATACTCCTTCGTGCCTTGGTTTCTTCCTCAGCTGGCTGGTCTGTGGCGGTGTCGCACT